TTCCCAGCTGCCACCGCGTCACCGTCTCCCCTGCCAGCTGGAATGGTACAATCCTGCCTCACCTCACACATTGAGTTTCGTGTCTTGATCATCGGAGCATCACCATCGATATATGAAAGCCGTCCTCAGCATCAACAATTCCATCCCACGACGAGCCATCTGGCTTTCCAGCAACCCCCCCCCCCGCCCCCCACCCCAGGCTCGCCTCGTTCTCGGCCTCCCCTCGCCAATATGGAGGCCCCCTCGAATGCCCCCCCCATCGCCATCCTCGCAGGCTACATGGTGCTCGCTGCCACGCTGACCGTCAGCTGCGTCCGTACTGTCCGCAAGGGCGTCGCCCAACGCACCACCGCCGGCACCGGCCGCCAGCTGCTCGGCTTCACAGTCTTCTCCCTGCTCGCTGTCCTCAGCCTCGCCACCACCTGGTACCACATGTTCCGCTTCTTCGAGTGGTCCTACGCCGCCTGGAAGGCCCGCCGCCTCCTGCGCCCCGGCAACAGCGCCAAGCTGTACGTCGGCCTGTGGCTGCGCGAGACGTCCCTCTTCAAGCAGGCGTGGGCCTCGACTTTCGAGACGCCAGCTAGGGCCTGGTGGTCTCTTCAGATCTTTGGCTTCTGCGCCAACTGGAGCGTCATGCTCGCCGTCCAGGGTACGTACTACCATAGCATCCTCGTCCCCAGAAGTACAAACTGACTCTGCCCAGCCAAGAAGCGCAAGATCCCCCACATGTGGGCGTTCATGCTGCTCGGTCAGGTCGTCGCCATTTCCTTCGCCTCGAACCTGTTCTTCCTCGCCGTCCTGGCGCATGACGTCGTCGCGCCGGCCGCTCTCCCCGACGAGGCCGCGAAGCCCACGGAGAGGTCCTCCGACTCGGATGACTCGAACGACGACGACGACGACGACAGCTCCGAGCCTGCCAAAAAGACCCGGCCCCAGCAGGCCCTCACCCCGGCCATGGCTCCCTTCTGGTACCAGATCGTTCTCGGCCTCACCGTCGGCTGCGCCGTCTCTGTCCCCGACAAGTTCGGCACCCCGACCTTCCTGCCCATCGTGCTGGCGCCGCACCTCCTCGCCTTCACGCCGCTGCTGATCAACAGGATCCTGCGCCGCGAGGTCCCCGCGCCGCTCCTCAACCAGCCGAGCTGGTACCTGCGCGTCGCGAACCTCGCCGCCCTGCTCGCCGTCGGCACGTCCAAAGTCCAGGCGGAGGGGGGCGACTGGGAGCTCATCCTGAGCACGCTGCACGAGCATCCCGCCGTGAGCTCCGTCGGCTGGGACGTCATCTGCTGCTGGGGGAGTTATGCGGCTTGGCAGCTTCTGGGTGAAGAGTAGTGTCTTCCCAGATGCGCCGAGCCGCATGGTTTTGTGTTGGGGGGCCTTGGGTACATTCTGCTGTGGAAATATACAATTGGTAGATATAGAAAGACATTCATATTTCTTGCATTGTTTGCTCTAACGTGGCCGAAATGCACACCTCTTGAAAGGTCCCTGGTCAGGTTCGTCAAGAGACGCGGACCTGCAGTCAAGTTCCTCTGTAGGTGCATAGACCGACCAAATGCGACCCACTTGCTCGCATACATGCACCAGCCTCAACCTCACGTCAATTGCCCGTCCCGACCTTGCTTCAGGTCAAGGCCGACGACACTCCCCCACGTCAGGCCCAACCTGCGTTCACGTTGACCATGGCCGTGAGCGCTCTCGCTAGTATGGAGTCCGACCAATCCTTGGTCACGCGGGATTTTCTGACCGGATTCCTCGGCGGCATGATATTCGCCGTTCTCCTGGCCCTCGTCCTCGGCGTCACAGCCTTGCGCATGACCGACCACTACGGGCTCGGCCACTGGAAGCTCAACCTCAGAACGCCACTGAGCTCCATGTGGATGAACGTCGGTTACTGGTGCGTCCCTTGCGTCCATGCCATGTCTTTACCCGCTGTTAATATGCTCTCAGGCGCGACGATGACGGCAACCAGATCGAGCACTTTGACGAGGCAGCCCTCGCCCTCCTCAAACAGCTCCTCTCCGCCGCCGGCCTCCTGGCCCCCCAGTCCCCGACGGCCGCCCGCCCTGGCGCCCTCGCCGTCCTCGACCTCGGCTTCGGCTGCGGCGACCAGACCTGGCACCTCGCCCGCCTGACGGCGTCAGGCCCGTGGTCCGACTTTCGCTACGTCGGCCTGACCCTCAACGAGGCCCAGGTGCAGACGGCCTCGCGGAAAATTTGCCGCGAGGTCGCCTCTGCCGCTGCCGCCTCCTCCTCCTCCTCGGCGGACCTCGACATCCGCGCCGACGCCTTCAAGCTGTTCCGCGCCGACGCCGCGCGCCCCGACACCTGGCCCGCCCCCGTCGCCGACGCCGTGCGCGCCCCTCGCCGACGAGCGCTTCACCGACAGGTGGCTCGTCGCGCTCGACTGCCTCTACCACTTCTCGCCCTCGCGGCGGCCCGTCTTTGCGAATGCGGCGCGCGAGCTCGGCGCCCACGTCGCGGCCTTTGACCTGCTGCTGAGCGAG